GGGTGGGAGGATGGAGGCAAGGTGCTAGCTATGAAGCAAACGGAAGTCACTAGCGCCATTGCATTACCTGCTTCAAAGGATGCGACATCCAGAGACACAACAACACCAAGCACCGCTATCATCTGTTATTGCCACAAGCACACAGCAATCTTCAAGATAATAGCAACGCCTCACCCTCATTACGGTAGGTCAGTGGTTAAAAATCAATTTTCCAACTATGTGTTTGGAATATATTATCTCACAATCGAATTAGGATTGTGGGAACACGGGTACTACTTATAATTACTTGTTTCATTTTTTTTATAAAATTACTGCTCCACTATATTACGCTATTAATGAGTTAATAAAGACATCTTATGATGTATGATAGCTTTAATTCAAGGTGAATTTCGTAGACCTATTTAATTATCTTCTTTATTGGTTTGATTAGTAATGAATCTGCCTATCAAGTTTCCAATCGAGTCACGAGTGCTCTCAAAATTCAATTAGCATTTTGGGGAGATTCAAATGAAGAATCGAGTTTTATAAAAAAAATTTGTATCGTCAACTTCTACAGCTTACTACAGCTCTATAGTATAGTTTGTGAAATTTGCGTATTTTTTTCTACATACTACTTACAAAAAATAAAAAATCTGTTCTTCTCTTTGAAATGAAATTAAATCATTTGTTTTTATTATCCTTAATTATTATTATTATTCACTGATATACTTCTTGAGGCTATACTTTTAGACTTTTTTCAATCTTAGTACTATTGCAAAGAAATGTTGTACTAAGATGAAATTTCATATATTTCGATATTTATCAACAAGCCTCAGTTCCTAAATCAATACAAACAACAACAAATCATGTTTATAATAAGTGATTGAGTTTTAACAACAATAAATTTCTTCAGTTCTACATTTTAATATTCGGAAAGGGATTGCTCCTTTTTGCTTTTTTTGGCAGACAATTTGCAAAACAATGTGTTTTAACTAGAACTCGTTTTGATTCAAAAACCATTCAACATTGAATTTAAATGGCAGTTAAAGATTAATTTTGCTTAGAAAATGATATTAACAAAGACAAACCTTAATTAAATTTTGAGCTGCAGAAGGGCTTTTGAAGCCCGCCAGGAACTTTCAAATATATGTTCGATATTGGAGCAATCTGACCGGCCAGTGTACCCAAGCCAGAGCATCGTGGCAGAATAAGAAAATCTTTCAATTGGTTAATGATTTTGTTGCAATAATTAAAATTTAATTAATAAATACGCTTCTTTAAATTCTGTAATAGGTTGTAGTAATGGAGCTTGGAACATGCAACATCTGATTCAATCTTATAGTGATGTTATTTCATTTGCAGTTTCCTGTATTTGTAACACTGTGCGCCTAGAATTATGCAACACCTTTCGCTGTGCACGCAACAAAAGCCGTCGATATATTTATTAACCGCACTGTTGATTCCCAACTTGCCATCAACTCAGTGTGGCGCAACTTTGCGTGCTAGTCGTTTTTATTGTTGTTGTTGTTGTTGTTGCTGTTATTATAGATGTTATTGTTGTTATTGTAACTGTTGTTGTTTCAGGGCTTGTTGTTCGAATTTTGTTGTCGCACCTTCTCAGGAATTCTGTTTACATTTATTACTTTGCGCAAGTTTAAGTGAAAAATTTCCATAAACATTCTTTTAAGCGACATAAAGTTTTTATTAAATTTTGCTAGAAATCCCTGACACGATGATATCAGGCAAGACTATGACTATGACTACAACAACAAAAGCAACAATAACAACACCAGCAAAAACAAAAATGACAAGCACAGAGGCGCCATTAGAAAGTGTAGCAGCAACAGGAACAACAACAGCAAATAGAGCTGCGGAATTTACTGCAAGGGGCATGTTGCTGTTGTTGCTTTTCTTGCTGCTGCCACTGCTCGTTGTTTGCCGTTGTAACACAAAATGTTCAGGCAGTTCAGGTCACATGAATCAGTAGAGTTGTTACCGTCACACTTGTTCTTGCCACAGTTGTTGTTGCTATTGCCGTTATTGTTGTTGCTGTTGCTATTGCTGCTGTTGCTGCCACTGCACGCAGTTCATAAAAATTTTGCCAGCTAACGTGACATGCACAAAGCGAAAGGCGAACGACGAGCAACGAAAGACGCAAGCGGGGAGGGGTAGAACGGAGCATGGATGGTTTGCAGGACGAAGGAGCAAAAGGCGTGCTGCCATAAACTTTGAGTGCGCGCTCCTAGGCGCTTGTTAAGGAAGCGACAAAAACAGCAACACCAACAGCAACAGCAACACCACCAACAACAACAAAGTGACATTAGATGAAATTCAATTAAAAAGAAGATATATTTCGTTCGTTGAAAATTCCAACAGTTGTTTAAAAATGCGCTAAACTCCTGGCATGTGCTCACTCCGACCCCAGTTCCGTCCGTCTTTGCTGACATTGCGCATACGCCGTGTGGCGAAAGTCTCATAAAACGCTTAATTAGAGAGTCGTTAAAGTTGAAAGGTGAACGGGTTGCACTGGCAAGAGGGCTGGTAAGCGAATGAGCAACATTAAAGCAACTGTGAATAATATGGTTTGAAGAGCTAGTACGCGCCATAAACTTTTTGCTAGTTTTGTAAAGTTTCTCCCTTAAGTCGGTGCTGCTTCACACGTGCCCTACAAATAATGCCAAGAAACCTCGCGCAACCAGTTACAATATATCCCCTTTATATCCGTACTTTTGGATGTGTGCTGAAATTAAAATTTGTAGCCAAATTATCTTAGAGCTAGAGCTGTGCGTGAATACCTGCAGATAGGTTAACGTTAAAAAAAACTTCTGCGATTTGTGAATTCATATAATCTTTTACATATTCACGGAAACGTCGATGTTACAAATATTGAACTAATTTAAAAGACAATTATGATATCATTGGAAATAACGCACAATGTTGCAGAAATACTGCTTTCTGATTATTTCTTCTTATATATATAGTAAAATACATTTTCTTGGACACGAGTACACACAACAAAATGTTTTATAGATCTAGTTTAAAATTTGCAGTTGCTAAATATATCTAAAGATTTATTTGCATATTCGAAATATTAAATAACATTCTAGATTTTCAAAGGCAGTGGTAGATTTTCAATTTTTTTTTCTGCACTTTTTGTTCAACCAAATGCCAAAGCAATTATAATTCCTAGATATTTTACAAATCCCGTAAACACTGTACAACACTGTGGGGACAGCATTTTCTATTATAATCGTATGTGAAAATTCTACCCAGTTCTTAGGGTTCGGAACGCTTTGTCCGAGTTCCGACATCCTTGCAAGCTCTTCCGATAATACCGATAATACCCCTTTGTTGTCAAAAGCTAAGACTCTTATAAAATATTATCGACCACAACAATGCAATTTTGAGAAAGGCACCATAAGTATACTAGAAAATGTGTAGAAATGTGAAACCAAGCATAACCATTCTGATTATTGGATCCCACCACAATTCACAATTTCAATAAATTAGCAAATTAAATATCCCCTATAAATTGTAGAGCACATCTGGTTTAATTAATTGAATCTTTCCATTGGGCAAGAAAAGGTTTATTAATGGACATTTTAATCCTCCCACTCTCGTTTACACGAAAACAGAAACAAATTCAATTTAAATGTACTCATTAAATGTTGCTCATTATTCATACTGTCCACAGAAACCAGCTAATTTGCGTTAAGCATTTTTAAATAAGGTCAATCGCAGCGCACAGGGTAAGTTGAATAGCCCCCAACCGATAACCAGAGTCAGCGGCAACGAACCAAAAGTTTATTCAAAACCGCAACAAATGACAAACGTTTCGGTCTGCAATGTACAAATACCAACACACACAGACCCTCATGTACCCTCAATATATACACAAACACAAACACACACACACACAGACACACAATATATCATGCGAAATCGACTGCTGCAAAAAATAAAATCAATGAAAATCAAAACCAATTAGCGGTTAACCAAACTGTACAAATTTGGGAAATTGATGCAGCCGGGCATGGCCATAAACAACAAATGCAACAACAACAAGGGCCGACGAAGTGAAACGTAAGCAAGAACAGCAACTAACTACGACAAAGTCACTGATTGCTGTTTTAGCCAAAGGTGGAGCCAAAGCCATAGCCAAAGCCAAAAGAATTATTTATCGGCAAATCTGACACAGAGCTATGAGAACTTAATTATGAACATACATACTTATATATGTGTATAGTTGTAAGTGAAACAAGTAAAAAAGCTAAAACTATTAATAGAATACAATTATGTTTTTTGTTAATATTTAAATATCAGATATTTCAAGCTCAGAAGACAAACAGATGAAATAAGTATTTGGTCACCTTTTTTTTGTGCGTGATAAAGAAAATTAAAACTTAACTGCGAAAAAATAAAATGTCGAATTCTTTCAAACTCGAAGCTATTTTGAACATTGAAAGCTGGACCAAAAACTTCCCTCAAATCCTCAATCAAATAAAAATTAACCGATAAAGCATTTGATTCCAATTGCATCTAAAATTGCATTCGAAACGAATATTCATTATTCAGACATTATTTCATGTATTTAAATATTTAATTTAAATGCTAAAATTCTAATATTAATGGATAATTTTTGTAATTCGATTTAGCAACTGTGTGTTCTTTAATTCATGATCATCACCGACTGCTATAGATCTCTTAGCGGAATAAACCAGCGAGTCACTGTTATGCGAAATATTGAGGGAAAACATATTACACATGACCTAACAAGGGAGCACGCAACTGCATCCGAAAGCGTTTTGAAAGGAATGAAGTGTCAGTGTCTCGTCGCCCCAAGTATGGGCAAGGACCCTCGAGCGCTGGGAAAGTACAAACCCCATCCCAAATATTTGTAATTCAATAACAGTCATTCTTTTCGAACAGACACATTCATATACGTAATATATCTTAAGATTTTTGGGCACACTTGACTCATCACAATGACATCACACCGCACTGGGGAGGCCATCACTTACCTGGATCTGCGCGTCGTGGGATCCTTCATTACCATAGCCTCTGAGATATCACCATAACGTCCAAAGTAATCGCGTAAGCTCTCTGCAACGAAAAAGTAAAAGTAAACAAAGTAAAAGAATATGCTGTAGTGAATTTTCAATAACAAGTTTATGAAATGTCAAGGGGACAGCCGCCAACAAAAATCACTGAGCAAAGTTACTAATTTCGTTATATGCTTAATAAAAACGAACGCCTTAATAAATAAATGTAGTACGTAGTACTTAGGGTGGTGCGTTGGAGCGATGGTGCGATGGTGCGATGGTGCGATAGCGGGTCCCAAACATTATTCACATGCATCTGAATGCCTCCCCAGCCCACATAACCGCCCATTTAAGCTCACATAAAGGACCGATGGATTTGGTTTGGTGGTCGATGGACTTCCCTCTCACCCCCGCTCCGATGCTTACTCTCGGTTGCCACGGCAGCTGTTGTCTGCGGTTTTAAGAGCTAATCTGGCATCCATGAGCACTTCAGCGGCACGTACGCACACAAACGCAAAACTGAAGTTATTTCAACAAAATTGCCAGACAAACAGCAGCGTGGTGATTGCTGAGGCAGGCAGGCAGGCAGCAGGCAGCAGGCAGGCTCACTGCTGGGCTGACGGGTGGTTGGCTGGTTGGTGTAGGAATTCGGGCTGGGTTGGCTGCGATTTAATGCAGCAAAAAACCGATAAAGTCATCTCGTTGTATGCCAGCCATCCAGCCAGCCATCCAGTCAGCTAGCCAGCAAGGCAGCAAGAAACCCTAATCCAGTCGAGTGTTGTGCGTGGCGGCGTTCTCGTCATAAATTCAAACTACAATAAAAATTCAATAAAACAAACGTTTTTTTCCTTTGCTGCCTTCGCCTCTGCATAAGCGAATGTGCTGTGTGTATGTGTGTGTGTGTGTGGGGTGCGATTTCTCGCGCCAGCCAACACACACGCATCCATGAGCCCAAAAAGCTCGAGTAGCAGCAACTAGTTGCGTCCGGAAAAAACAAACAATGTTGTCAACGCGTCGACAAAGGAGCAAAGAAGCAGCACAAGCTACGAAGAAGCGCACAAACTGCATTTTATCAACGCACAGTGGGCCAAAACATGACTATGTTGCATGAAAATAAAAATAATAGCTTTACCAAGTCCATAGTGATTTGAATTTTAAATGCGTGCGGTTCCAAGACGACAGACTCCCAATTCCAAATGGAAGTTTGAAAGGTTATACCGTTAAGCTCTTTCAACCCAAAATAAGTTTGAAGGTTCTTGAAACTGCAACAATTTTTTTCCATGTTTTTTTTTATAATATTTTTATTTGAGACAAGTTGTTATGAACACATTTTCCCATTTTTCCCTAATTATGTTGATTTTTTTGTAACTTGACTGCGTTATTTAATTTATGATCTTTAAAATATTTTGTAAATTTTTTAAAATTTGTTTCTATCATATTTTGTGACTTATAAATGTCGATAAATAAAAGAAACTAGGAACTATTCTAAAGCAAGTAGAAAGCTTTATTAAAAATTTCAATAATCTGTTATCTTAATATTTCAACTATTTGCTCTTAAATGAGGGAGTTTTTGATCGTTATAATTCTAAAAGGATTTTTCAGATTCAAAATAGAAATTGATTTATTAGAAAGTACTCAAAATGAGGTTGCTCGTAGCTATTATTATTTATTTATTTATTTATTATCGGTTCGGCTAAAATTTAAAATGTATAGGCAAACAAATATTTAGTCTAAAGCTGGTATTCAATAACAATTAAGGATAATAATTTAATTTACATAGTTTTAACGGAAAATACTATCAAAACAACTACATAAATGGCAGATCTGATCCATTTCTATCAACAAAAAAAAGTCATTTAATTCACGATTTTTTTTTTGAGTTTTTATGAAATTATTTTACAAATGTTTTTTGTTTCTGATCCACAGTGCGGCGAACGTTGCGTGGTCGCAGGGCTTTTGGTTTTCGGGCACTGCGGTAGTTCGTGGGACAGCAGGGGCTGGGTGCCCGCAATGCAACGCAAACGAATGTGAACGCAAAACGCGCATCGCGTGATTTACATAAGTATGCACAATAATTATGAACAATAAAAAACAATTTGTTTGCAACAGCAGCAACTGGCGCAAAAGGCTTGCTTGTCGGCTATGCTAAGTGAGGATAGCGGGGGAGATGGTGGCAGTGGCAGTGATGGTGGCGGCATAAACTGGCATGTGTGTGGTCTGGCATGCGTGTGTGGCATGTAAATTGATGGCACAGCAAGGGTTGTACATACACACGCATGCACGCACACTCACTCACATACACATTATATGCATATGCGGACTGACAACCAAGCGTCTATTCACATTTGCCGGGCCCTGTAAAGTATGCTACACTTTAAGTTTTATCGAGGCAATTGTCCGGTCTTGAATGACTCGACAATTAGCAACACCTTTCAAAATGTCATTAAGCTTTACCTAATGATGAAAATTACTTTTCACCGGTCATTCTAACACTTTGTCCATTATGCATAGCTCAGGGGTTGCAATTCTTAGAGCCTTTAACTGTGAGTTGGCCAACTTGCTGCCATAAAGTTGCTTTAAATTGTTTGCTTCGAATATATTTGTATGCTTAAGTTCTTTGCTTTTCAAGGTAATTTCCTCGTCAAGTTTTTTCAAAACTTTGAATTGTCCTTGTACGTATAGCAACCCCCTTTTGTTGCTTGCGGGTAAAAGGCGTATAACCGGAATTTGCTGGAAATTGAGTTTGTTTTTTCAATAACCTTAATCTAATATATGCCTCAGTTCCGCATAAATAAGTAAAACAAGTTAATGGCCCCACACTAAAGTTTGCATTCACAAAATAAAAAAAAAAAACTTTAAAATAAAATTGAAATGAAACTTAGAGACTTCTGTATACCCTGTTTAAAACAGCACAGATTACGAAAATGTGTTTTTTATAAAGCAACTAAGTTTGGTTAATTATTATAACTATATCATTTGATTATTATTATTATTATTATCTTCGTTCATAAATTAAAGTTTGTAATAAATATTAAGAATTTCTGAATACTAATACTGTTTTACATTACAACAACAAAAATGAACTCTTCGCAGTTTTTACTCGAATTACTTCTTTTTCCAATCAACTTAACAAAAATATGTGCAAATGAGACTTGAATCTCAATTTATTTTTTACTTTACCATTTTTACAAATTTTGAATTAATAAGAAAACCATTTAATAAAAAAAAAAACATTCTTTATTTCTTAATTTGTTATGAAACTCTAAAGTACAAACATTTTAATTCCTTCATAATCAACCCAAAATCATCTTAATCTTACAAAAAAATGTGCTTTTCAAGGTAAACGCGAATAGGGCTTTCGGAATATTATATAACATTTCAATCGATGAACCAAAATTACAAATTTGTGTGATGACTTGAATTTGGACGAACATGTTGACGATTCAAAATTCGGGATTACCGAAAATGGGAGAATTTATCAAAAATCTGAATTTTTAGGTAATTGGTTGTGGTTCTTGCTTTATTGCTGATCACGAAAAGATTGGCCTAAACTCTTGGGCCTGATTTGTAGACAAAATTGGCATTTTAACCAACAAGCATTGCCCGTTTGAGCATCAAACAACTTTTACAATTTTGAAAAAAATTATTAATGATTAAGAAATGTAAATACTTTGCCAATTTTATTTGACCACCTGATCGGAGTCTTTTGTGAAGGAACTGTTGTTGGTTTATGCAAACGAGCTTGCTTCGATTTCAATCCTGGAAGTCCACAAGGGGATACGCATTGTTCACGTGATGGAAAATTGCACCCCAAATAGGCAGTTCCATAGATGCTCCCGTAGCGGGTTTGTGCCAGTAATAAAGTAGATTACCATTTCATTTAATCTGATGCATTATCTGCTTTATTGAATTACACGTTTAAAGCATACGGAATAATTTCCCATAAGCGTATTAGTTAGACAAATATTTTAACGAAGTCCCTTGTTATTATCCCTTCCCTGTGCTTTTCACATAATTTAATTAATGGCATTAGCATTTAATTTCTAATTTGCACAATTATCACATCACTTTAAATGCACATTTTTTGTTGCTGTTGTTTTTTTTTTTTTTGTTTTATTTGTTAGCTGCCTCAACAATGTTACGCCCCGTTTAGCCTCATCCTCATTTTTCACAGTGCAGATTACAGCGTTCGTTGCTCATTTGAGTGACAGCTGCAAAGTTTGTTTTGCATTTTCATATTTGCGCGAACACTGGCCAACTGTCACTTGACCTATCTCCTCTCCGTCCCGCCCCTCTCCTCCCCACCCGCCCATCATCCACCGCATCTCACCGCACCGCACCGCATCGCACGCCACCGCACTACTTCATCACTCTTTGCTCTGTCTGGCCAATAGAAGAGCAAGAAAATTAAATAAATGTGCGATGTATAAAGTGCAAATGCAACAAAATAATAAAAAATACGAGGGCACACAACAAAAAAGGGAAAAACAAATTAAAAGCGGGCAAAAATACAATTTAATTTATTTGCTGCACTGCAAAAAAAAAAAAAAGAAAGGAAAAAAACAGTAGCCCCCAACAACAAAAGCAATAGTAACAACACGAATATATATTGCATGGTATTGTATTTTTGTATGTAACGTGGCAAAAGCCAAACTTGGATTTAATTAAAATGTTTACCACAGTCATTTCATTTTCATAGCCAACAAACATAAATTTTGAAATGCGCAACAACGAGAGCCACAAAGCGGAACAGCTGCAAGAAAATGGCAAGCCATTAAACTTGGCCCACACACAAGCACCCACACATATACATAGTATGTATATGTATACTTATATGTACACACTATATGAACACACACATTCACTGACGCACTCCAGTCAGCTAATTTTGATTGTTGCATTAACGCATAACTAACTAACAATGCGTTCAATTTGCTTTGTTGCTTTGCGGGTCGTGAGGAAGAAAGAAAATGAATTTGTACGTAATTAGTTCGAGCAGCTGCCTCAAGTACAACTTAACCCCTTAATGTCCCCTTTTTGTCTAGCTAGCATACACACACC